TGACTGCTTGTAGCCAGGGGGAAGATTGGGGGAGGGGTGATCTGTCACCGATCACAGTCTATTAGTCAGGCTGGTTCTAGAAGTTTCTGCTGAGTTACCTCTGAATCGCTGATTGATTTTTTTTTTTTGTAACAATTGCAAATAAATTTTTCTTAAAATGTAAATCTTTGCGAATCTGCATACTGGAAAAGGTTACGCATGAGTAGTAACTGAGGCATCAGCCAAGGATCCATAGTCACTGTATTGTTGGACAAGGATCTGTAGCAACTCTGGCGGCGGACAAGGATCCGTAGTAACTGTGTTGCTGGCCAAGGATCCGTAGTAACTGTGTTGCTGGCCAAGGATCCGTAGTAACTGTGGCGTCGGCCAAGGATCCGTAGTAACTGTGGCGTCGGCCAAGGATCCGTAGTAACTGTGGCGTCGACCAAGGATCCGTAGTAACTGTGTTGCTGGCCAAGGATCCGTAGTAACTGTGTTGCTGGCCAAGGATCCGTAGTAACTGTGTTGCTGGCCAAGGATCCGTAGTAACTGTGTTGCTGGCCAAGGATCCGTAGTAACTGTGGCGTCGGCCAAGGATCCGTAGTAACTGTGGTGCTGGCCAAGGATCCGTAGTAACTGTGTTGTTGGCCAAGGATCCGTAGTAACTGTGGCGTCGGCCAAGGATCCGTAGTAACTGTGTTGCTGGCCAAGGATCCGTAGTAACTGTGTTGCTGGCCAAGGATCCGTAGTAACTGTGGCGTCGACCAAGGATCCGTAGTAACTGTGGCGTCGGCCAAGGATCCGTAGTAACTGTGTTGCTGGCCAAGGATCCGTAGTAACTGTGTTGCTGGCCAAGGATCCGTAGTAACTGTGGCGTCGGCCAAGGATCCGTAGTAACTGTGGCGTCGACCAAGGATCCGTAGTAACTGTGTTGCTGGCCAAAGATCCGTAGTAACTGTGTTGCTGGCCAAGGATCCGTAGTAACTGTGTTGCTGGCCAAGGATCCGTAGTAACTGTGGCGTCGGCCAAGGATCCGTAGTAAGGGCAGGTTCATACCATTTTCCGGACCAGACATGGCCCGGAAAATGGTGTGAACTTGCCCGCAGTTCCAGTGCATTCCAAACAAAATGTGGCCAGACAAAATGATACAGGCAGTACTTTGGTCTGGTCTGGAATGGACTGCGCTGGTGTGAACAGAGGCCAGAAATAGCATAGGGATACATTAACATACATTTTGGGTCAGGAAACAATCTGGTCTGGGGATGATCTGGATGTGGTGTGAATGGGCCCTATGTGTGGCGTTGGCCAAGGATCCGTAGTAACTGTGGCATCGGCTTAGGTTACAGAGGACATTATAGGGGAAGTTATGGGGGACAATCTCATTCATGAATTCTTATTTCATAGACTGCAGAGGGATGTCGGGGGTCTCGCTCTGTACAGGTCTGGCCGTCTTTCTGTCCATCATGTTAGTATATTCGGCTCTCAGGGAGGTTTTCGCTCCATCACTCGCCCGGTCTCTATCCCATCATCATGTCAGTGGTCTTGGATGGTCTCGGAGTTTCCTGTCTGTGCCGTGTCTGGCTGGTCGGTGTTTTGGGCTCCCTGGGTGGGGGTGCGAGGCACTCTGCGAGCCACAGAGACCCGAGGGCCGCGCAGAGACCCGAGAGCTGTACACGGGTGGAATTGCGGCGGGAAACCACGCGATCTGCCTGGTGCGACTGAGGTGCTAGTAGAAAATGATGGCACCGGCAGCACGATCAGCGGCGGTGTGCGACTCCGTGACCCCGAGGCCATCTGTGCGGTTTCGCGCACGATCGCCGCGCGGTCACAGACCGCCCATGTGTGAGCCTGGCCTGAAGATGGACTCCGGGCTTCCCTTCAGTCTTGCGCAGTTGTACATCTGTATCACAGTTCTGCACACTCAGGAGTCGGGGTGTGTTACCAACGTATGGTAGTTGGTGGAGCAGCAACTGCCGGCCTCTAACTGTTACCTGGAAGTCCCGGGGCCCAGAGCCGTCCTCGCACAGAAGAAGGTGAGTTATATGATTGGTCAGAGTTATCTACACCCAGAAAGGTCACATGTTGCAGCTCAGCAGTTCTTCCATGTGGCGGCTGCATTTGTTTTCTTTATTTAGGCTTTTTCCCTTTATTATCACCCGGTGATCCCGCCAGTAACATTCCAGAGAAGTATTTTCTACCTGTTGGCAGAGTTTTAGTTTTAGGGGTTTACTTCCGCTTTATTTCTTCCCTAAAAACATTTTGGTTACACAGGAAACAACTTCTATGTTACAAAGTGTTAGCCCCGGCGATGGCTGCCTGATATCTGGGGCCACACTGCAGCCCCCGGCAGTCACATGTATTGGAGGTATTTGTCCTCCCGGCTGATGGAGGGATTGTGACGCAGGATGGGGAGTGTGTGCTCACATGTGTTGTATTTATAACAATCAGTCCCGTGTCTCTGAGATGTGCTGTCAGGCGGATTACAATGATCTGTGAGACTACAACGTGACACTTTCCACCACAATACACAACACGACACTATTTCCCTATTCATCAATGTCGTCATATAATACAACTTTACAATGGCGACACATTCCCTTTATATAGTCCTGTGTTGTATTGTTGTGTGCACAGTCCTGTGTTGTATTGTTGTGTGCACAGTCCTAGACACGGTTGGGTATCCTGGTCATGTGGACGACGTTATATTATACAGTCAGTCTCCTGTCATTGTATTTCTATGGGGTATAAATAGATTTGGGGGCTCTGTGTCTGCAGTCGGGTTGCATGTCCTCGGATCAGCGGCGGCCTCCAGTTTCACTCATGAATAGATTGATAGGAAATGGAAAGATGGCGGCGAGCGTGCCAAGATATCGGATCACACAAGAGCAGGAAGACGTGTATATTCCCCGGACACTCTCCGTGTTACCTGTATCAGGTTTTCCTGACTCAGCTCCATTCATTTGAACTTGTCATTATTTAATGCAACCCTTTATAATTACCCCCCCCCCCCCCCCCCCAAGAACACCTTTCCAAAACTTTTTTTTAAAAGCAG